TAAAGCTTTAAGGACATTAGTTTTTTCCTACGCAACTTGCATAGGCTACGCAGAAGAAAAATCTAAAGTGTTCAAACTTGCGTAGGCTACGCAATTAGCCTACGCCCATGCATCCAACCTACGCAATTCACCGAAGGGCAATTTTGTTCAGTTGTGGGACTTAGTATAAATACTTATTTCAAGCCATTGTAAGGTATCTTTTTGGAAAGAATACTTGTGTAGCAGCTTCTGATTTTCTTTTTTGGGATTTTGAGTGACTTCACCATTATTCTACACAATCTTTCTTTACTCATTAGCTATTATGTTTATATTTTCATCTTTTTTTGTATTTTCCTTAATATGTCTAGCTAAGTTTATTAAGGTAGGATTGTGAACCCTAAGTGTGGTTATGTTGTTGGGTTATTAATATAATTCTAGGTTTGATTAAGCTTTGTGTTATCTAATTACTCCACTTTATTGATTTATTTTGTGGTTACAAACACTAAATCCATGCCTATTTTGCTTGTTATATCTATGAAAAGTAGAATTTAGCTTAGGTACAAAGTAATTAGCAAGGAATTAAATGAGTTAATCACTTGATTAATGAAATCTAGCTAGGAATAGTGTGATTTCTACTTGGGTTAATCAGTTGCTTGTACTTGAGCCTTAGTTGACTTGGAATAGCAACTTGGGTAAAAACCTCTGAAGTGTTGGAAGTTACTAAGTGAGTGGAATAGAAATTGAGGTCATAACACATGCTTAATTAACAAGAATGGAACAATTGTGTACCCAAAAGCATAACCTACACAAAAGGCAAACAATTCTAGCGCCCTTCTCTTATGTGCTACAACTACATTTTTACTTGCATTCTAAGTGTTTGATAAAATTCCTAAACTAGTTTTCATCATCATTCTAGAACTTTAGAAGTAATTGAACAACTACTCTTTGTTTGAAGATTACATTAAGAATCACCAAGTTTACACACATTTGGACACTCTAACACACACCTATTCCTTGTGGGATTCGACCCCAACCTTGTTGGTTTATTATTGCTAATGATCGTGGTATGCCTCCTTTGGAGGTGTAGGATTGGACGTCACCAACACGGCTTTTCCTTTAGAACAACCCTCCAAACCAATCGAATCTAGCCAAATATCGTTCAAAATATTTAAAACAAGCTTTATAAACTATCCACGAATGAAAAAGATTCGATTTTGATCATAATTGAAAAAGTTAACAAAAAGTCAACCTGGGCCCACATGGTCGAAATCCGAGATTCAAACCAAATTTCGATTACCCATTCACCCTTGAGCCTGGATATGTGAATTGTTTCGAAATCTGATCTCAATTTGAGGTCTAAATCTCAATTTTATAATATTCCTAAATTCTACCCAGTACCCCTAATTTCCACTTTGAAATTCATTGATTTGATAATAAAATTCATGAAAACAAATTAAAATTAATTGAAAACAAGTTAAAGTTTCTTGCCAATGAATTTGGGAAGAAATGACTCTTCAAAAATCGCTTTTATGGAGTCTAGGGTTGAAAAATAGTGAAAAAGGAGCTAAGACCCGAAATTCCCATATTTCACCCAGCTGCAGATATTGCAATGCGAACTCTTATTCAAATTTGCGAACAGTGTTTGAGCATCACAAACATCGCAAATGTGAAAAGTACCTCGCATTTGCTAAGTTCCAACCTTCACAAATTGTTGCGGCCAAACGCACACGCAAGTATACGCGGTCGTCAAGTAATAAAGTGAATAAAAGTCGGATGTCGAACCCACGAGGACTTGTGATTAACTATTAACTAAATTAGACTATCCTAAATATCTAACAAGAATTAAATCTAAAAATATTTGATTCTCAACTAATTAAAATAAAGAAAATAAATAATGAACTCTGGACAAAGGAAGAGCAACTTTTTATGTTATCAATGTGATGAAAACGATCTAGGGTTATGGGCTATCTAACAATCCTATTGTATTCTTCAATTAAATTGACTAACTAATTCCTCTGGCTTATTGGTTGACAGGATTACTATTGCTCATAAGAATCTGTCGAGTTCTTACTCGCCTATTCAAGCTAACCTAATGCATATATGTCTATGGAATTAGAACTCGCAAGAATACATTTGTAATTCCTGTAAATCAACCAAGCAAGACAATTAGGTATATGTCTATCCTAACCGCGAATCTGTTCCACGATGCCCAGGTTCAAGAAATTGCTCTACTCAATCCTATATGCAATCTAGAACGCCCACTTTCAAGTTCAACTCTAGATTCGTAGATAGTATTTAACTAGTGATCAAGCAATCAAATAATTAAGCGCAGGATTGAATAAATAAACTATTATGATAAAATATGAAATCAAAATCAATATACGAATAACAATAGTCATGAAAGAACCACAACCCTAGAACGTGAAGTTTAGCTCCACATAGACATGGTATCAAAACGACAAATCATACAAAAAAATATAAAAATTACTAAGTTTGGCGGAAGAAAAGATGAAACCCCCTCTACGGTGGCTCTGTGCTCCCCCTAGGTCCAAAGTTCGGTCTCCCCTACCTAAAAATGGTGTGTAATGACTATTTATATGTGTAGAAAAAAGGCCTAGACAAAATAACCAAATCCAAAACCAAAATTTGGTGGTGACTTCAATGTCATATGGGATGAGGAAGAAAAATTTGGTGGTTTACCTGTATCCCTTAATGAGATAGATGACTTCAGGCACTGTGTTAATACCTGTAACTTGACAGATCTTGGATTCAAAGGTAGCATTTTTACTTGCTGGAATGGGAGAGGTGAAGAGGATTGCATTTTCAAGAGATTGGATAGATGTTTGGGAAATACTGAATTTCAGGAAACTTTTCCTGGGATTGAAATAACTCACTTGTCAAATGAAACTGTGATATTGAGACTCCTCCTGTGAAGAAGCCTTTGAGGTTTCTGAATTTCTGGGTTGAGAATGAGTCATTTAAAGAGACAGTTAAACAGCATTGGAATGCAGATTTTGAAGCAAATCCTTTTACAATGTTCAATCACAAGCTGAAAAAGGTAAAGAAGGCATTGACTGTGTGGAGTAGGGCTACATTTGGAGTTATTTTTCAGAAAATTGCCAGTCTAGAAGAGGTTGTCATGGTACATGAATTAGAATTTGAAGCTAATCCTACATATATGAACAGAGAAAGATTACAAAGAGTTCAGGCAGATCCCTTTAGAGTATTGGCATTAGAAGAGAAATACTGGAGGCAAAAAGCTGGAATGGAATGGTTCAAAGATGGGGATAAGAATACAAAGTTTTTTCATGCTCAAGTAAGAGGTAGAAGAAAAAGGTTAAAGCTAAACAGAATTCAGAATACAGAAGGAAATTGGATTGAACAGGAAGATGAAATTGCAGTAGAAGCAGTTAAGTTCTATGAAGAACAATTCAAAGAAGCATCAACTACTACTGCTACCTCTTTTGAGATCCTAAATTATGTTCCACCTATGCTTAATGAGGAGCAGAATTCAGCATTGGTAAGACAACCAACAAAAAATGAAGTTAAAATGGCAGTTTTTGGCTTGAATGGTAATAGTGCAGGAGGGCCAGATGGATTCACAGGTAAATTCTACCAGTCTTGTTGGGACATAATAGGTGATGACATGTATGATATGGTAAGAGCCTTCTTCAATGGCCATGATTTACCTAAAAGTGTAACACATACTAATTTAGTACTGTTGCCAAAGAAGAAAAATGTGGTCAACTTTTCTGATCTTAGACCCATAAGCCTCTGCAATTTCAGTAACAAGGTTGTGTCAAGAGTTATTCATGACAGATTGGTGGATTTGTTGCCTAATTTGATCTCTGAGGAACAAGCGGGATTTGTCAAAGGAAGGAGCATTGTAGAGAATATCTTGCTTACTCAGGAAATTGTCACAGATATTAGGTTAAGAACAAAGGCTGGGCCAAATGTAGTTATGAAATTGGACATGACAAAGGCATATGATAGGATATCTTGGCTCTTCTTAACTAAGGTACTCAGAAAGATGGGATTCTCAGAAATGTTTATTGGCATGGTGTTTGGACTTGGTTCAAATAACTGGTACTCAGTTCTTATAAATGGGCAAGCACATGGTTTCTTCAAATCATCAAGAGGATTAAAGTAAGGAGATCCTTTATCCCCTACCCTATTTATCTTAGCAGCAGAAGTTCTTTCAAGGAGTCTAAATGCTTTGCATCAGAATCAGCTCTTCTGTGGATATGGAATGCCAAAATGGAGTCCAAAGATTAATCATCTAGCATATTTTGATGATACAATAATATTCTCCTCATCTGATGCTATTTCCCTGCAACTAATCATGGAGCTATTGGCTGCATATGAGGCTGCATCAGGTCAGCTAGTAAACAAGTCCAAATCTACAGTATATTTACATCATCTATCTGACTTGGAGGTCTTTGAAAAAGTGGAAAGGATTACTGGACTTAAAAAGCAGGACTTTCCTGTTATGTATCTAGGATGTCCTATTTTCTATTCTAGAAGAAAGCTGGATTATTATCAAGGGTTGATCACAAAGATAATGGACAAGTTGCAATCATGGAAAGGGAAGTTATTGTCTATTGGGGGCAGGGTTGTGTTAATATCTCATGTTTTCTCAGAGTATCCCAATGCATCTTTTGTCAGTTGTGAATCCTCCTAACTTTGTGATTAACAAACTGCACAAAATATTTGCACAGTTCTTCTGGAGCAGCTCTATAGGAGGTATTAGCAGACACTGGGCATCTTGGAACACCTTATGCATGCCAGTTGAAGAGGGAGGGATTGGATTCAGATCCCTACATGATGTGTCCAGGGCATTATTTTCTAAACTATGGTGGAACTACAGAACAAGGCCAAGCTTGTGGAGCTCATTCATGAGCCAAAAGTATTGCAAGAAACTTAACTCAATTATAGTACCATGGAGAGAAGGATCACACATATGGAGAAAAATGATTGAATGCAGGGAGATGATTGAACATTAGATAGCTTGGCACCCAAAAATGGGATCTTCACTCTTTTGGTTTGATAATTGGACAGGTTTGGGGGCTCTATACTTCAATGTACCTCAGGACTTTGGGATAGATGAAACAGTGCACAATGTTTTTGATGTGGTAGAAGGGGGAGCATGGAATGTGGACAGGTTATTTGAGATATTACCAGAAGATCTTGCAATGCACATTTTGGAGAAAATAAAACCACCTTCAGTACCAAATGTTGTTGATGTACCATACTGGATGTTAGAGCCAAGGGGTTATTTCAGTGTGAAGTCTGCATGGAGATATTTGAGGAGAAGAGAAGACCCAAAGGTTGCTTTTAAGATGATATGGGTAAAGGGATTGCCATTCAAAATTGCTTTTTTTCATGTGGAAAGTCTGGAAAGGGAAACTACCTTTAGATGACTTTTTGAGGAGGATAAGATATTTGTTGGCATCCAAATGTTGGTGCTGCACAGATCCAAAAGAAGAAACAATGCAGCACCTTTTCTTTCAATCAGATACAGCAAGATTTGTCTGGAGATATTTTCTTTCAGGAGCTAGAATCAGACATCAGGGATTAACATTACATCAAGCAATCACTAAATGCTGGACTGTAGAAGTATGTCACAGACTAAAACCTATCATGCAAGCACTACCATCTTGCATTATATGGGAGTTGTGGAAAAGAAGGAATAGTATGAAATATGGAGATGCAGTATCTACAGGCAGAGTGATATATCAAATATTATCCAATTTGCAGGGTCTAGTGAAGGTGAGAAAACCAAGAATTGAGAATGTCCCACATAGATGGCATGACCTTTTAGCTATGATGGAAAACTTCATTCCTAAGTTGAAGGTGACTAAAGTGCAATGGGAATTTCCAAGTGCAGGAGGGTTGAAGGTGAATACTGATGGTGCTTCAAGGGGGAACCCAGGGAGAAGTGCAATAGGTTACTGTATTAAAGATGATCAAGGGGATATTGTGTTGGCAGTAGGGAAACAAATACATGAGACTACAAATACTGTAGCAGAGGCAGTGGCAATAGTAGAAGCACTGCAATTTTGTAGATCACAACATATGACACAAGTGTGCATCCAAACTGACTCAATGCTAATGAAGAAAATCATTACTGGGGAATGGAAACCTCCTTGGTGTATAATAGAGGAAGTAGAAGAAATTAATCAGCTGATGGAGGGAACTAATTGTGAGGTTTCTCACATTTTCAGAGAGGGTAATAAACTGGCTGATCACCTGGCTAATTATGCACTTGATTTTGGGGATATTGAATGCCATGAGTTTGGGGAACTTGATTCATTTGGCAGGAGAATAGTCAATGAAGACAAGCTGCAATGTCCACACCTAAGGGTAAAAGTAGCCAAAAACTAATGCAGGAGGAGATAAGGGAAACTTCCAAACAGGAGATATGTGATCAACATTGCCAAATCCTAAAGGAGGAGGAAATGAAGATCATTTTTTTATCTAACTGTTTGTCTTATTTTGCAGGTACAGGTATGCTAACTATACTTTGTTTTTTAAGGAGGCCTCAGATGGTGGTATTCGTACTGAGTACTCAGTCCATCGAGGAAGAATTAAAAATAGAGTATAGCTTAGTGGAGGGAATAAGGGAGCTATTGCACAGATGCAATCTCAGGATGTCTCACTCATTGAGAGAAGGAAATAATTTGGCAGATCTTATTGCCAACTCTGAATTGATTACTGGCCCTATGGAGTATAAAGGATTAGAAGAGTTGGATGTCAAAGGGAGGACAATGTCCATACATAAAAAAAAAGGATACAAGAAATTAAGAAGAGAAGAGGAAAGCAGTAACAGGGACATGAGGAAAATTGGAACTGTCGATTATCATACTCAAATCCTTTGGGAGAAGAGTATGATGATTATGTTTTTTACTAACCTAGTTTTCTTTTTTGTAGGGAATGTTACTGTGGTCATGCCCTTCCCCTTGAATAACTCTCACTTGGTGGTATCAGTACTATGTACTCAATCCAAGGAGAGGAAAACAAGGGAAGACCCAAGCATGACAATTACAAGAAGAGAGCAACACATGTCCAAGAGGGGGAGCTATACAGAATTTAGTCGACCTCGGATCAGGGTAATAGTCACAGTAGAAAGGCAACAACAATAAATAAAAAAAAAAAGCAAGCAAACCTATGAGGTCACAAAGGCACACAGCCTGCAGACAACAAAATTCCCTTCAGACAAAAGGGAACTCAGCTGGATGATGCACCTGTGGGAAAAAGTAATCAAGCATAAGAAGGGATACAACTCACAGCATACAGGGAATCAGGCATACTTGAGGATTCATTATCCTCATGAAAAACAAAAACCACTAAAAAAACAAAAAATACAACAAGATGAGGAGGTGAACAGCTTTATTCTCATAACAATCTGCAAATTTCTCTAGTCTTGGCAAAGCATTTGGAGCAGTAAAGCAGCATTTTCGATTAGAACATCAACATGCAACATGAATGAGGAAAAGCAGGGCAATCTACTGGTCAATAGCAGCATATACAGAACTACGCAACCTATTCTCTACCATCGTAGCACATGCAGCAGACAAACTCGATTATATTCAGGCGCAAAGGCATCACAATCACATGTAGCAGTTCATATCAGCTGGTTTAAGGAGAACATTAAGCAACAAAGTAGTGATTCAATTTGGGAAGTTGACAAAACTGGAGCAAAAATGAAGTTCAAAGGAGACACCTGGGCAATCGTTAGGTCCTATGTTTGATACAGGTGTGATACAACACTGAAGGCTAAAAGTGGAGACAACACGTGTATAGAGACAAGGATGCAAGGAAAGAGGCTACAATTGCAAGAGCCGGCGATAAATTGGATGGAATGTGGCTATATATGCAAGCATAATGGAACGCTGTTTTGGGCCTATATAATTGGGCCATTGGATGCGGACAGCAGGTGTATGGACTGTGCATGGGCTAGTTTTTATTTTACAAGTTTTAGTAGTAATTTTGTGATATCAATTTTGAGTACTTTACTCAATTTTGGTAATAGGTTCTATGTAAGTTTCAAATTTTATTTCTCTCATCATGTTAAAATATTGAACAAATTGTTTTATTTTTTATTTTCTATATATAAAAACTAGCCCTGGGCAATGCCTAGTGGATTGATTAAAAAAAAGTCCAAACCAAAAAGAAGACAAAATATGCTTGACATCAGGACCACACATCGCTACAGGCCTCGCCTCGCGAGGCAAAGCGCCTGGTCCACCTCGCCTCAACCTGTGCCTCGCGAGCTCTGTCGCGCGGTTTCTACTGTGCTTTGCCTGCTTTGTAGCGAGAATTAAGGCTTGCGTCGCCTGCTCTCTAGTGAACAATGAATCTCGCGTTCTGTTCCTTCTTTCAATTCTTTGCATTACTCCTTTTGTCTTCCTTTAATTTGCTCATTTCGATTTAGTCATAATGTATGTCTCTTAGCCCTCAATAACATTATACTGAGATAGTACAATGTAGTTGACCAAACTTGTGATGACCCAAAAGGTCATCACTTGTTTTCAAATTTAATTCTGCATTTTGGGGCCTTAGAAACCTCATTCAGCATCACCTCGATTTGCGTGCGCAGTCCGGGCGCGTAGCCAGAAAGTCTATATGTGAAAATCTGTGAAAAAAATGATAAAATTTGGCTTTAAAATGAATTAAGTTGACTTCGATCAACATTTTGGGTAAACGGACCCGGACCCGTGATTTGACGTTCCCGGGGGGTCCGTAGGAAAATATGGGACTTGGGCGTATGCCCGGAATCGAATTCTGAGGTCCCAAGCCCGAGAAATAAATTTTTAAAAGAAATTGTTTTCTGAAAAATATAAAGGTTTTTGAAAGTGAAATGTTATGTGAAATCTGTGGTATCGGGCCCGTATTATGGTTTCGGAGCTCGGTACAGGTTCAATATGATTTATATGTGTTGTCGGTAAAGTTTGGTAAGAAACGGGGTCCATTTGACGTGATTCGGACCTTAAATGCAAAATTTGATGTTTAAAGAAGTTTTGAGAAATTTCATTGATTTTGAGGTTTAATTCGTTATTCAAGAGGTTATTTTGGCGATTTGATCACATGGGTAAGTTCATATGATGTTTTTGAGTTAGTACGTATGTTTGGTTTGGATCCCCGAGGGCTCGGGTGAGTTTCGGAAGGTTTTGAACTCATAAAAAGTTGCAGGTTTTACAGTTTATGGTGTTCTGGCATTTTTTTCTTCGCATTCGCGGGAGGACCCTCGCGATCGCGATGAGTTATTCATGTTGAAGGAAATTTCCTTCTACACGAACGCGAGACCCAGGCCGCGAACGCGAAGCTTTGGGGGGTCTTCCCTTCGCGAACGCGGGCCTGGTATCGCGAACGCGAAGGCTTATGAGCCTGGGCAGGGGGGGGGGGTATTATACCCTACGCGAACGCGACCACCTGGACGCGAACGCGAAGGCTCGAGGGGTTAGTGCTCCGCGAATGAGAGCCCATTTCCGCGAACGCGAAGGTCTCTCAGGCCTAACTCATCGCGAACGCGATGAGCTATCACGAAAGCGTAGACCAAATTCGCCCAGTTATTTTTAAGTTCAAAAATAGAATGTATTACGGGAATTTCACCATTTTTCATAAACTTCATCTTCTCCACACCTTTTGGGCGATTTTTGAGGAGGAACTTCACCATAGCTTCATAGGTATGTAAACCTAAGCTCGTTTTCTTCCATTTTTATCAACACCCACTTGATTTCTAGGCCTAAAACATGAGATTAAGGGTAGAAAATTAGGGATTTGGGTAGAGTTAGGGCTTTTTTGATTATTTGGGAATTTGACCTCGTTTTGGGGTCGGATTCCAAAACAAATTATATATTCGGGCTCGTTGGTGAATGGGTGATCGGGTTTTGGTCCGAACCTCGTGTTTTGACCAAGCGGGCCCGGGGTCAATTTTTGACTTTTTGGGAAGAATGATGGGAAAGCTACAATTAAGCATTGGAATTGGATTGTTTAGCGTTTATTGATGTTATTAAGTTGATTATGTCTCGATACAATTGATTTGGAGCAAAATTCAAAAGGAAAAGCAGTGTTTGAGGCTTGAGTTAGCCGTGGAAGTTCGAGGTAAGTGTTCGGTCTAACCTTAGCTTGAGGGATTTGGAGTTGTGTCCTATTTGCTATTTGCTTCTTGTCGAGTACGACGTATAAGCATGGTGACGAGTATCTATACGTTGGTGTCAAGAATGACCGTGAGTCTTAAATTCTGAATTATTGTGTTCTTAAGTAATACTACGGATGCATAAATTGATGATTTTCGGTATTGAGAAAAGATTTAGATTGTTCTCGTGGAAATTACTTATGATTGAGTATTGGTGTTAGCTAAGGTAGCTAGATGTTGGAACAAGATTGGTTATAGCTGTTTCTCCCTTGCCGGGACGTATTAGCTTTTACTGTCGATTCCCTTGCCGGGATAGTGTAGTTCCTTATTGATCCCTTGCCGGGACTCTTGTTATGATTGTCGGTGATTGTATATTTGGATCGGGTTGCGCGCCACAACATTGTTATATTTGGATCGGGTTGCACGCCGCAACAGTAATATAAATGGATTGGGTTGCACGTTGCAACAATAATATAAATGGATCGGGTTGCACGCTGCAACAGTGATATAAATGGATAGGGTTGCACGCCGTAACAATAATATAAATGGATTGGGTTGCACGCCGCCACAGTGATATAAATGGATCGGGTTGAACGTCGCAACAATAATATAAATAGAACGGGTTGCACGCTGCAACAATGATATAAATGGATCGGGTTGCACGCCGCAACAGTGATATAGATGGATTGGGTTGCACGCCGCAACAGTGATATAAATGGATCGGGTTTCACGCCGCAACAATGATACAGTTGGATCGGCTTGCACGCCGCAACAGTGTTAAATTATAGGGATTGGGTTGCGCGCCGCAAAAGTGTTATTATTGATTGCTGTAGATCTTAAATTGTTCTCTTATATTTCTCTTAAATTACTGTTGGACTTGATATTTTCCCCGCAGCATGTACCCCCTCCCATATTTATTTTTTATTTCTGTTTTATTTTCCGCTGCATATTATATAACTGCACAGGTTTATCTGGAGTCTAGCCCTAGCCTCGTCACTACTTCGCCGGGGTTAGGCCAGGCACTTACCAGCACATGGGGTCAGTTGTGTTGATGCTACATTCTGCACTATGTGCAGATCCCGGAGCAGCTTTTAGGTAGTAGCACTTGGGGAGGCTGCCTTCAGTCCAGCTAGAGATCCCGCGGTAGTCCTGCAGGCGTCTGCAGGCCCGACGTTCTCTTCTATCTTACTATGTACTCTGTTTTCATTTTATTTCGAGATAGATTGTATTTTTTTCTGACATTGGTTGTAGTAATCACAGTCCGTCCGTGATATTGTGACACCAGATTCTGGGTAGAGACGTATGTTGGCAGTGTCATACTGGTTTTAGTTATTCTATCAGATTAAGCCTTCCGCTTGATTTTTCATTTATCGTTAATATTTCAATGTTGATTACCTGTTAATTTAAATGGTTAAAAAGGGTTAAAATAGAAGAGTTAGTGATTTCTATACTTTGCGGCTTGCCTAGCTTCTACGAGTAGGCGCCATCACGACTCCCGAGGGTGGGAAATCTGGATCGTGACAAGTTGGTATTAGAGCTCTAGGTTACATAGGTCTCACAATTCACGGACAAGCTTGGTAGAGTCTGAGGGATCGGTACGGAGACGTCTGTATTTATCCCCCAGAGGCTATAGAGTTAGGAAAAACTTCACATCTATTCATTCCTTGTCGTGCGATATTGATTCAGCTTGAAGCATGTAACTTATATCCCTTTACATCCACTCGTGTGTAATATTACGCTCTTGGTGTCCGCTATGCGCCAGTGCTTCGTGATGCTGCAGACAGGCTACGAGGGAGTCAGGGATGCTTAGACATTTTCTCAACGTGTTGTCCAGACTGGAGGTATGGGGGTATTGAGAGACTATTCAGTTGTTTATATGGAGGCGCGGTAGAAGCATGGTGGGTGTTGATTGAGGATAGTTAGCGGTATTTGAGTACCTTGTGATTTGTGTTGTACGAGCTGTGAAGGTTAGCTCTGCGGATCATCAGACGTTGTTTTCTAGGGCTTCGCGCCAAGTGGAGGAGTCTATCAGTGGTATTCAGATTGCATTGTCAGACTTGCGTCAGTTTCGGCCTGAGGTATATGTGTGTGTGGTGTTGGTAGGTTCCCAGAATTTGTGAATGACTAAGGTCTGAGATCTTGCACGGGACGATGTTGGGGCTTTGATTGGGATTATTGCATATCGACTATCCGAAGAAATGGGTCAGCTCTGTGGTTTTGGGTCAACATAGCGACGAAGTGATTGGTCCTTTGAATAGGAATTCTCTACTGGTATTTGTGGGAGCACTCTTGGATTGAACGGTTTGTGTGACTCGGTTGAGTTGGGGAGGTGTAGTCCTGATGGCTTATTTGCGTGCGGGCGGATCTCGGAAGGTTCTCGATGGTTTGACTACGGCTTGAGTTGGGTGTCTACTATGGGCGTAAGGAATATGTGGTACATTGTGACCTTCTCCTGAGTAGGCATTAAAAATTAATGGGGCGTTGACATTGTTGGCTATCACATGTGAAGAGTGTGCATTTTGGAAAGGACCTTGAGGTTTGGTTTGTGGGTGCGTGGCTGGTAGCATAGTGATTACTGGGTTTGAGGCCTTCGAGGTTCATATTTTGTTACGC